GGTTGGTAACTGGTCAGATATATACACGGTGTTACTTACCAGACTCGAGGTTGGTAACTGGTCAGATATGTACACGGTATAACTTACAAGACTCGGGGTTGGTAACTGGTCAGATATATACACGGTGTTACTTACCAGACTCGGGGTAGGTAACTGGTCAGATATATACACGGTATAACTTACAAGACTCGGGGTTGGTAACTGGTCAGATATATACACGGTGTTAATTACCAGACTCGGGGTAGGTAACTGGTCAGATATATACACGGTGTTTCTTACCAGACTCGAGGTTTGTAACTGGTCAGATATATACACAGTATAACTTTCCTGACTCGGGTTAGATAACTGGTCAGATATATACACTGTGTTACTTACCTGACTCGGGGTTGGTAACTGGTAACTGGTCAGATATATACACAGTATAACTTATCAGACTCGGGGTTGGTAACTGGCCAGATATATACACGGTGTTACTTACCTGACTCGGGGAAGGTAACTGGGCAGATATATACACGGTGTTAATTACCAGACTGGGGGTAGGTAACTGGTCAGATATTTACACGGTGTTACTTACCTGACTCGGGGAAGGGAACTGGTCAGATATATACACGGTGTTACTTACCAGACTCGAGGTTGGTTACTGGTCAGATATATACACGGTATAACTCACCTGACTCGGGGTAGATAACTGGTCAGATATATACACAGTATAACTTACCTGACTCGGGGGAGGTAACTGGTCAGATATATACACAGTATAACTTACCTGACTCGGGGTAGGTAACTGGTCAGATATATACACGGTATAACTTACCTGACTTGGGGTTGGTAACTGGTCAGATATATACAAGGTGTTACTTACCTGACTCGGGGTAGGTAACTGGTCAGATATGTACACGGTATAACTTACCTGACGCGGCGTAGGTAACTGGTCAGATATATACAGTGTATAACTTACCTGACTCGGGGTTGGTAATTGGTCAGATCCTATGAGATGACCAACAGCCGCCATCTTGTCCTGGTAGAACACCTGTATGGCCGACATCAATAGGGGAAGACTGTGGATGACCCGACAGGTGAACGTCTTTTCGCCCGTGTGATTGACAAACCTGAAAAAGAGTCAAGCGACCTATTTACAGTATTGATATCACTTAGCAATGCAGGTTTTAGCACATGTGTAACCGTTCAGTCTTTTACACGGCATCGCTATTTATTACCGACAAACATAATTAAGGCCTACATGACCACAACACTAATTGCTATTACAGTACTTTTATCTACATTTTATGTAGATTTGCTTTATATATTATATACACGCAGTTAACGTCAGTTTGTAAAATTCACAAATAAATACATATATAGGAAACGTCACAACAGTGCCCCCCACACCAAATAGGGATGTTGGTACATTTCTAATTCCAATAATGCGCATTAAATTAAGCATTGAACTGTTTTTGTATGGTACTTATGATCAATTTGAATGGCACAGCTTTGATCTGTAATCATAAATACCATACAAAAACAGTTCAATACTTATATTTACGTTTTCTCTGCCTCTTATGTTCTTTTTTAACTTATAATTTATATTTAAAATGCCCGCCTTATCGACAGTCCACACAATTTCGCTCAATAGTTTGAACAGCGTATTGTCGCGTGCTGATTGGCAAACAAAGTAGTACTTTGAAATTTTAACAAACGCTTCAATTTTATTCCACAATTCAGTATCAATACAATTGCGTATGATATGTCTATAGTGTGATTTAAGTTTATCAATAGAACTCTGAGCTGAAAGTTAGATTTCAAATTGTTTCGATTTTTCACCGGAACAAATTTCGCGCATGGACAAATACAGTGAACACCGTACATCCGACCTTGTCCTCCACGAGGGAGTTATTTTTGGAAGTTAATTCGAACTTTTCTCTTTGCTCATTTTGTTAAGAATCCAGGCGTGAATGTATTTGTTGATTGTATGGGAACCTGACAACAGTCGGTAGATTCTATAACGGACTCGTTATTTGACATGTCGTCAGAAACTGAGGAACCGTGGATGCGAGACGCGTGAAACTGATAGCGTTTGAAGCGAGTGATCTTGCGGCGGAGCACAGGTTCGTTACAAATGTCTGAAATGTTTATGTGTGGTGTGACTCATATCAATAGATCTGTAACATATGTGTCAGTAGGTCTATAGAGTATGTGTATTTCAGACATTTGTTACGAACCTGTGCTCCGCCGCAAGATCACTCGCTTCAAACGCTATCAGTTTCACGCGTCTCGCATCCACGGTTCCTCAGTTTCTGACGACATGTCAAATAACGAGTCCGTTATAGAGTTGTAGTAGATGGAGCGACATAGTTACTAAAGACACTGAGTGTTGCAGTAGATGGAGTCTAGCTACATAGTTTACTACAGACGCTCAGTGTTGCAGTATATAGAGACTAGCGACATAGCTTACTAAAGACACTTAATGTTGCAGTAGATGGAGACTATCGACATAGTTTACTACAGACTCTCAGTGTTGTAGTAGATTTAGTCTAGCGACATAGTTTCCCACAGACTCTCAGTGTTGCAGTACATAGAAACTAGCGACATAGTTATTACAGAGACGCAGTGTTGCAGTAGATTGAGACTAGCGACATATTTTACTACAGACAGACAGTGTTGTAGTAGGGTTGTTCCGCATAAACGAACAGGCCCTTGCTATTTTGCGTTAAACGCATGCATGCGTTTAACGCAAAATAGCAAGGGCCTGTTCCTAGTCTCCATCTACTATAACACTGAGTGTCTTTATTAAACTATGTCGCTATTCTACATCTACTACAACACTCAGTGTCTTTAGTAACCTATGTGGCTAGTTTCCATATACTCCAACACTGAGTGTCTGTAGTAGACTATGTCGCTAGTCTTCATCTACTACAACACTCAGTGTCTGCAGTAAACTACGTCGCTAGTCTCTATCTACTGCAACACTAAGTCTCTGTAATAAACTACGTCGCTAGTCTCCATCTATTGCAACACAGTTACTAAAGACACTCAGGGTTGCAGTAGATGGAGAAAAAAGAAAAAAAAAAAATTTTTTTTTTTTCTTTTTTCTCCATCTACTGCAACGCTGAGTGTCTTTAGTAACTCTGTCGCTAGTTTCTATCTTCTGCAACACTGAGTGTCTGTAGTAGACTATGTCGCTAGTCCCCATCTACTACAACACTGAGAGTCTGTAGTAAACTATGGCGCTAGCCTCCATATACTACAAAACTAAGTTTCTGTAGTAAACTATTTCGCTAGTCTCTATCTACTGCAACTCTGAGTGTCTGTAGTAGACTATGTCGCTAGTCCCCATCTACTACAACACTGTTTGTCTGTAGTAAACTATTTCGCTAGTCTCTATCTACTGCAACACTGCGTGTATGTAGTAAACTATGTGGCTAGTCTCCATCTATTGCAACACAGTTACTAAAGACACTGAGTGTCTTTAGTAACCTATGTGGCTAGTTTCCATATACTCCAACACTGAGTGTCTTTAGTAGATTATGTCGCTAGCCTTCATCTACTTCGACACTGAGTGTCTTTAGTAACCTATGTGGCTAGTTTCCATATACTCCAACACTGAGTGTCTCTAGTAAATTATGTCGCTAGCCTTCATCTACTTCGACACTGAGTGTCTTTAGTAAATTATGTCGCTAGCCTTCATCTACTGCGACACTGAGTGTCTTTAGTAACTATGTCGCTAGTTTCTATCTACTGCAACACTGAGTGTCTGTAGTAAACTATGTCGCTAGTCTCCCTCTACTGCAACACTGAGTGTCTTTAGTAAACTATGTCGCTAGTATCGATCTATTGCAACACTAAGTGTCTTGAGTAAACTATATCGCTAGTCTCCATCTACTGCAACACTGAGAGACTGTATTAAACTATGTCGCTAGTCTCCATCTCCTACAACCCTGAGTGTCTTTAGTAAACTATGTCGCTAGTATCGATCTATTGCAACACTAAGTGTCTTGAGTAAACTATATCGCTAGTCTCCATCTACTGCAACACCGAGTGTCTTTAGTAAACTATATGTCGCTAGTCTCCATTTACTGAAACACTGAGTCTCTGTAATAAACTATGTCGCTAGTCTCCATCTCCTACAACCCTGAGTGTCTTTAGTAAACTATGTCGCTGGTCTCCATCTACTATAACACTGAGTGTCTTTAGTAAACTATATGTCGCTAGTCTCCATTTACTGAAACACTGAGTCTCTGTAATAAACTATGTCGCTAGTCTCCATCTCCTACAACCCTGAGTGTCTTTAGTAAACTATGTCGCTAGTGTCTATCTACTGCAACACTGAGTGTCTGTAGTAAACTATGTCGCTAGTCTCAATCTACCAGAACACTGAGTGTCTGTATTAAACTATGTCGCTAGTCTCCATCTACTGCAACACTGAGTGTCTGTATTAAACTATGTCGCTAGTCTCAATCTACCAGAACACTGAGTGTCTTTAGTAAACTATGTCGCTAGTCTCGATCTATTGCAACACTAAGTGTCTTGAGTAAACTATATCGCTAGTCTCCATCTATTGCAACACTAAGTGTCTTTAGTAAACTATGTCGCTAGCCTTCCTCTTCTGCAACACTAAGTGTCTTTAGTAAACTATGTGTCCCTAGCCTTTCTCTACTGCCTTCAAAATGATCATTTCTATCAGGCTGAACAACACAGACACTGTTTTCCTCCATTTATCACTTTCACAGTCTTACTTGTGACGCAGGGCGTAGCCATCTTGGTGCCGCCATTTTTATATACATATATATATTTGACAAAGTCGTGGTTGTTTTTATCTGTGTTGGAAAAGTACTAGAATCTGCGATTGATTATTGTTAAAATACTTTAGCGTGGACGGTAAAGAATGCTACTATTCACCCTAAGTCGTAGTTGAACAAAGGAATTCCTCCGTCTGGTTTCTCGTATAATTAAGAAATCAGTCCTTTGGGTATTATATCTTTTGATTTGTCGGATAATGGCGATTCTGGTCATGCTATATTTAGTACCAGCTTCAGCTATATGACGTGCCGGCACAGCAATGATACTACGGTAAGTATAGTCAGGTCAATCACTGAGCCTCCCCAACGGCATATAAAACGACAGTCGGCAAACATCTCAATAAGCTCTGGACGATGATGGCCGGAAGATGAGATCCCGGGGGAGTTTGATAGTCATGAGTTGGGGCACGAACATCGCACGTGTGTGAACTAAGACACGGACCTTCGTACTATGACCTCCAAACTTGACTATTTCGCATCGATCGAAGTAAAGGGTCGCTTCCTAAAAGTAGTTAACCCATAGAACGGTGACATACGACCTAGTAGTGGCTTAAACGTCACTAGTTATATGTAACACAGGAGGAGAAACGTAGGATACATGTCACCGCTGGGGATCAAACCAGCGACCCAAAACTTTCTAGTCCGACGCTCTACCACTAAGCTGAAAATTATGTTAGTCAAAACTAGTAAGGCAAAGGTAGGGCCAATGCCTATGGAGATTTAACATGAGTGTCGGCCCCCGCTTGGAATATCAAAACACGATAAATACAAAAAGGTATAGGTATAGGAAGCTTAAATCAGGAACCGTTAGTTACAGAATTCATTTTAGAATAAACGGGACCTCATTGACTTACACCTGTGTGGGTGTTAAAGGTCCGGTGATACAATTCCTCCTAGAGCATTTAAATGACACAATTACTATAAAAGTATATCAGCATCGTGTTAAACATATTCCAACTGTTATTTTGATACCGAATATTAAACTATTTCAAGAAAGAATTGTTCTTTTTATTAAAGATTTAAGCAGAAAAGTATGTGAAATTTCATTACTAATGCGAAAATTTCCCATTTTCAACACGTTAATTTTCATAGTTTTAAAACGAGTCTATTTTTCATACTTGCTTAAAAGTTGGCTGTTAAAAATATCTTTCAACATCAGGAATTTCAAGAAAATTGACTACCAGTAAATTTGTCAAATAACACTTTTGAGTCTTTCCACTTTTCCTTTAACTTGTGTTTCTTCATGACCAAAAGTCATAGGGTCTGGCTATTTGACAAGTAGATTGTTCATGTGAATGGATTTAAATTTTGTA